TCTTCTCTTCTCATTCTCTCTCTATGGGAGAGAAAAAAATTTCTCTCTCGCCTCTCTCTATAATTCCCTCATCAGAGGGAATCCGATTGTCGGCCGGCAGTTGTCTACCGCCGCCAACTCCGCCGCCGACAGCTGTCTACCGCCGCCGGCCACCGCCACCGGTGGCTGGAAAACACTAGAATTCCTCAAAATATAGATCCGAATGATCTAAGACCTATTCCGACCCCCATTTTTCCTAAAAAGTCTCCTATTTGTGTAGATCTTACAAAAAAATACCTTCGGTATTTTGTTTCTATGGCGAAATTCGGAGGCTCCGGCGACTGTGTAGCTCATTGGTGATAAGTCCTTCAATCTCTTCTCTTTCTTTCGGTTTTGTATTGTGGATTTATTGTTGGTTATGTGGGTTTTTGGTTGTTTTCTTGCTCTCTCGCTTGCTCTCTGTATCCCTCTTTGCAGGTTCGATCGATGGCTTTATAGCCATCACCGACGCTTGCTTCGGACCGGTTAATAAGGCTCTCTTCGGTGAGTCACCGAACCTCTATTGGTGACTCACTGTTGGGCGACGTGTGCGGCTGGAATGACTCTTCTGGAAGCCGTCGGTGGGCGTCGTGGCAGCAAGTGAAGCGACGTTGAGGTGGTGGCAATGAAGACGGCGATCGCGTGGCCCTAGGGTATCAGAACCCTAGGGTTTCTCGCTGGGACCTTCAGGACCGTTGGATCTTGCTAGATCCAACGGCTGATAGGAGCGACGACTGGGTGAAGATGTTGAAACCCTAGTTGGGTTTAGGGTTATGTAACTGGGTTATGTTTTGGGTTTTTGGGTACCCATTTGTAATTGGGTTCTGGTTTGGGCCTGTAATAATAATAATATTATTATTATAATTAAATTATAATATAATAATAAAATAATAATAAATAAATAATAATAATAATAATAATAATAATAGTAAAACCAAATGAAAAAAACTAATGTCTTCAGGAGTAAAATGTTTTGAAAAATATTTTAAATTATTCGATACAAATGATATAGTTCAGGGTAACGGCGTATTTAATCCGTTTAATATATGTATGTGGAAGTTAGATGGCATGTGAGCAGCAAAAGCATTTAAATGAGAGTGGAATTAATTATTCAATTAAATTGTGATTTGTAAGATGGAAATGGGCTGTGTGGACTGCCTAAACCAATATTTTAAGTACCAAGTTTTGAGTTATTTAATCCAAAACAACTAGATTTGGAAAGCTTTGTCTACCTATATATTCAAAACAATAATAAACAATTTTTTTATTAGTATACCGAAGGTCGAGGTTGGTACTGATTCAGTTTTCTTTCATGCATTGATCTCGTGTTTAGATAAAACTATATATATTTAAAGTTAATTAAGTAATTAATTAGAGATTGAGTTTTTTTTACACTGTTAATGTATTTGGGACATGAGGAAATGAGGTGTTCAAGCGTAGGTGAGCACTCAATATACTAATAACTCTCGCCATATTGATATGAGCAAATTACGATACAACATGAACACAACACTTGCTTCGGCTATTTTACAAACACTATTCTCAGCAAAACTTTGTTAAGCTATATTTCTTTCACTCACTATCTCTTGTTTTTTCACTCACATTACAACTTCCAACTCCAACCATCTAAGTCTTTTCATAGGCAATTCTTAACCTCCTCAAATTTGCTTGTCTTAGTAAAATTCTATGCTAAAATGTTCTCTCTTTTGCCCCTCAATTCTTCTCCATCAAGTATCTAATTTGTTGTTGCCTCCATCATCAATTTCAATTATACACATGTTTAATTTCCATTCTTAACTCTTAAAGTTCTCTTAAACATTTTAGGTGCTACCATGGAAGTAGAAGAGATTGCCGACATACCATTTCATTTTTATTTGCGACATGTTCTCTCGTATCATTCAAGAACTATCCATGCCTTGCCGACATAAGTAGCAAAATCAAATTTGAATTCTAACGTGGGATATTTTTTTGCATTTCGTTTGAGGGAATTATCTTTACATTTAATTTTTACGGTATATTTAAATCAATCAATTAATTTATTAAATATAAATGATTATAAACGAAATAACATGCTAAATGGAAAAGGTCGAAGAGTTGACTTGTTTATGGCTGAACATATCTAAAGCCCAAAGATATAAGCAGAAGATAGGGGTACTGAATATCTAAATTGGGGATTAGACGTCGAATATATCAGTACTGGCCCATATACTTGTTAGGGAAACAACCTTGCTTTTTCACCACCTTTCATATGCGTTTTTCCCCTGATTATCTTCTATTCTTTACTAGCTTTGAAAACGTTACAGGGAGGTTTATTTCCTACCATTTTCAAAGCGTTTTCAGAATCATATTACACCGGCAGGGTACCCGTGCGTTTCAACATGAAACGTGTGACATGCATTGATAAAACTAAAACAAATAATTTTTGACCAATTTCGACAGTGTGACTGTTCAATAACCAGATAAGCCGCTGGAAATCAGTTACTTCAACGCCTATAATGCCTGCTTCAATCTGGTATAATGTTTGCTCTAACGATTTTACCATAGCACTCTAAACAAATTAATAAATAGTGTAACTTTCACTTTGACAAAAAGGAAAGAAGGACGTACTTTAGCATTCTAATTACCATCCCTTCGGTAGTAGTATAACTATACCTTGCCATGCCCTATACCCCGACATCCCAGAATGATCGCATCATCCTCCTTCTTCTGGCCATGTGTTGTTTTACAGCCATGGATTATGCAGATGCTGATGTAAGTTTCATTAGTCTTCTCGAGCTCTATTCTTGTATTCGTTATCTCATCACTTTCGTCCATGAAACGAAATTAACACAAGGTTGTGCCATATGATTCTCAGTGGACAAATCATGGGGGCGACCTAAATAACAGAAGGTATGCGGCTGGAGAAGTGTTTCTCAACTCGTTAACAGTCAGGAACTTAGCATTAAGATGGTCATTCTATGCTGGCAAGGACATATCAGCAACTCCAGCGGTTGCAAATGGAGTAGTCTACTTCCCATCATGGAATGGATATTTGTATGCAGTTAATGCATTCAACGGTGGTCTAATTTGGAAGCAGAATCTAAGCGAGTTAACTGAACGATCCGGCACCGGAGTTGTCGTAAATGTTACTGTCTCAAGATCAACCCCGACAGTTGACGGGGACCTCTTGATTGTAGGGATATACGGACCGGCGATAGTGATTGCTCTCGTTCTAGCAACTGGGAGACTTGTTTGGTCTGCTACACTAGACCCGCGTCCCAGGGTTCTGATCGCAGGATCTGGATCAGTTTACATGGGGTTAGTCACCTTAAGATTTGCATTTCAAGTGCTTCTTTTTTTCCAATGATTAATTAAAACATTATTCATCTGATTGTCCTGCAGGGCCTTCAATGTAGGAGTTTCATCTCTAGAGGAAGGACTTCCACCAGAGCAATGCTGCACTTTCAGAGGCAGTGTCATAAAGCTAGCCGTCCGGGCGCAATCTTATGGCAAACCTATATGCTTCCAGATAATGGAGGCAGATTGGGAGGATATGCAGGAGCAGCAGTATGGGGAAGCGGCCCTGCAATTGATACAAGCAAGAGACTAGTTTATGTGGAGACCGGAAACCTCTACACAGCTCCTGTGAAGTTTTAAAATGTCAAGAGGCACAAAACAATCAGACAGCTAAACCAAGTCATCCTGATCAGTGCATAGGCCCTGATACAAATTACAACTCGGTTGTAGCTCCGGACATAGATTCCTGAAGGATCAGATGGTCGAGGCAATTGGGGGGCTACGACGTGTTTTATTTCACTTGTTTAGCTCCTAACAACCCTGACTGCCACCCGGGTCCTAATTTAGATGCAGACTTTGGAGAAGCTCCAATGCTCCTCACTATAACGTCTAATGGAACATTTTGCGATGTCGCGGTCAATGTGCAGAAGAGTGGCTTTGCATGGGCTTTAGACCGTGATAATGGTGGTATAGTTTGGTTTAATATAAGTAGGAACAAAAGGCCATTCTATAGTCACAATAGTGCAACTCATTTGATGCTTTGTGATCTAAAATTTGAGTTTATCAGCTGGCAGGACCCGGTGGGAAGGTGGGAGGAGGAATATGGGGCGCAGCCACAGATGGAAGAAGAATTTACTCCACCATCGCGAACAGTGATCGCCAAAGCTTCATGCTCACGCCATCTAACCAAACAACAGCAGCAGGAGCATGGGTAGCTTTGGATGCTAATACGGGAGATGTCGTATGGGCCACGGCAAACCCCAGCAACGACACTGCCCAGACGCCCGTTACACTGGCCAACGGCATCCTGTTCGTAGGTTCCGTAGCTTCTAACGGACGCCATCGACACCAACACAGGAAATGCACTATGGACCTACAACACTGGTGCTACCGTGTACAGTGGAATATCGGCTAGCTATGGGTGATTTACCTGGGAAACGGTTATACAGTTGGGCTGGCAAAGTTTCACCCTACTTGGACTCCAGGAACTTCACTGTATGCATTCTGTGTTGCCTGAGCTTGGCAAAAGCTGCCACTATGAAAGAAGTAAGCACTATAAACAGATGAGAAACAATTAGTTCAACTGTGGCAGTACTATGAAATAAAATTACAAAAATTCACCCAAACATATCATAATAATTATGACCTTTGCCTTTGCTAACAAGTACCATCCAAATGCATACTCTCAAACAAATCAAACAAGGAGGATAGAACAAGTAAATAAAAATTAGTACCATCGAGACAATTATTTGAATATAATTCAGTGACGTGTATCTAAAATTAAATTATATGGCCAATAGGCCCAACACCATTGAAGACCATAACCCAATCTTAAAATTAATTTATATGGCGAATAGGCCCAATACCATTGAAGACCGTGACCCACCCTTCGTTTCACATCAACGGTCAATAATAGAGAGAGCTTTTCTCGAAACCCACCATAAACACTGAATATGGATCAATTCAGGGTTACCGAGTAGTATTATTTGTAAAATAAATTAGTATTTCCTTTCCCTGTCAAAGTCAAAGAAACATCCCGCTGCAGCCGACCCTGGTTTCTCTCATTTTCTCGGAAGAAGCATGGGAAAGGGCCCTGGTCTCTACTCCGATATCGGCAAAAAGGCTCGAGGTTTGAATTTTTCTCATCCTCTACTTCTTCTTCATGTAAGCTGCATTTTGTTACCTCTTTCTTCTTCTTCTTCTTGATTCAGAGCTTCTTTACAAGGATTACCACGGCGACCACAAGTTCACTCTCACTACTTACACTTCTAATGGAGTCGTGAGTTATTCCTTTTTTATTTTTGGATTCTATTTATATTTTCCGCTGAATCAGTGATGCTTCTGCTATTCAGTTTCGCTTCATTTATTTATTTATATTTATGTTAATGTACTCGTAATTGAACTAACTTTACCAACTCTTCTAGGGCAATGCTGTTCTTTTCATTTCAATTATGAATTTATTTACTGTTTGTTGAGTTTCATTCAGCGTGTTATTTACTTACTAGTGTATTATATCTTTTTGTTTTTGCCTAATTTTAATCTGTAAGGCTCAATAGAATTCCTTTGGATATATCTTTGTTTCATATGTTTGCATGAATAATTTTTGTGATTGATATAGAGATTTATCGTTCTGGTTCATTCTTTCTTTACTTCACGGGCTACATTCTTATCTAGTTTTGAATTATGTCAGGCAATCACATCAACTGGGACTAAGAAAGCTGAATTGCTCTTGGCTGATGTAAACACTCAGCTGAAGAACAAGAACATCACAACTGATGTGAAGGTCGACACTAAATCGAATGTAAGTTGTGAAATGCTTTTACAATTCAGTTTGGGTTTACATCTCTAAGGTCATATTAATAGTTGTTACATCCTATTGTGGGGTATGTCACTCTCGTGAATACAACAACAACAACAACAACAGTCTTTTGTACCTTATAGACGTACAAGGCGTTATTTCCCTTTTCAATTTTCAAACCATGGCACTGGGCCTTTGTTTTCTATTTGACATTTGAAATTATTGTAGCATTGGATATTATCCCATTTTGATGTTTTGAGTTTGGCTTTCACTTTTGTAGCTTTTCACCACAGTCACTGTAGATGAACCTGCACCAGGATTGAAGACCATCTTTAGTTTTGTTGTTCCCGATCAAAAGTCCGGCAAGGTAATTGCGACTTTCTTACCCCTGTTCCTGTCATTGAGTTCGTTTTTTGCTGATAATGAAGTTGTCAGCATCTTCATTTAAGTAACGAGGTGTAGCTATATTTATCCCTTCTGTTATATTTGTTATAGTTTGTATGAGTAATAACCGCCTTTATTGTTTTTGTAACAGGTTGAGCTGCAATACCAGCATGAATATGCTGGCATAACCACCAGCATTGGATTGACTGCAAACCCTCTTGTTAACTTTTCTGGTGTGGTTGGAAACAGTTGTGCTTCTGTTGGGACTGATCTCTCATTTGACACAGCCAGTGGAAACCTTACCAAATTGAATGCTGGGTTAAATATCAACCATTCTGATCTCATTGCTTCAATGACATTGTAAGTATTTCTTTATGAAGAAACATTTTATGTCTATATATTTTCATAATATACTCAGACATATAGTTTTATGCGATTCTGGCCTGGTTATGAGTGGTTTTCTGTCTTTACTTATCCATGCATTCTTTCATCCTGCTTGTTGTGTTTGTGGTTTTGATTGGTTTTTTTGTTGTTTTTGATAACTACAGGAATGATAAGGGTGACACTCTTACTGCTTCCTACTACCACATCGTTAGCCCATTGACTAACACTGCAGTTGGCGCAGAGATGACCCATAGTTTCTCAAGTAACGAGAACACTCTCACGATTGGTACACAGCATGCTCTTGACCCATTAACCACAGTGAAGGCTCGTCTGAACAACTATGGGAAAGCAAGTGCACTGATTCAGCATGAGTGGCGTCCAAAATCCCTCTTCACTATAACCGGGGAGGTGGATGCCAGAGCAATTGAAAAGAGTGCCAAGGTTGGTCTGGCCTTGGCACTCAAGCCATAAGGCAATTACTCGTTGTGTGGATGAAGGGAAGGCGGTGGTTTTGATTTAAGAGAAATAATGTACTATTGACGGTTTTGGTATTGATGATTTTGGTTTTCATGGATTGTAAAAATAATTTAGTGGCCAACTTACTGAATTTAGCCATTTGTTTTTGTGGGATTTCCAAGGGCATACATTTTTTGTTGAACATGTTTCATGTTGGCAAATGTTAATTTTTTGTGAAATTTGAGTGTTGTTTTCGCTCACCCGTGAGATGGTTCACTTTGTTTACTTATTATAAGCACAACACCTACATTGCTTTGCATGTAACGCCCTAAATCCTGGGTTAGTAGTTCGAGTCATTCCGAAGTCTAAAATTGAGCCATTGGACCTTATTATATTAGTTGGACCAAGTTGTTGTTAGTGAGCTTGAGTTAGGGCCCAAGAGTGTTAATGAAGGGAGATGAGTAATTCGTGATAATAAAAGTAAAGGAATTTAAGTGCAGTTTACACATAGCTATTTTGGCAGTTGAAAATCTCTCCTTATATTATGTTTTCACCGTGAACAACCCCTTACACATCTCACCAAACACTCTTCTTATCTTCTTCTATCTTTAAGTAAGAATCTCAAAGAAATTCAAGCCATCCATCCAAGGCAAGATTATTAAATTTCATCCTTCTAGCTTCATTTTGAGCTCTCTTTCGCTAGTTTTTATCCATAGAACCAAAAATGAGTCTTGAGAGTTTTGTGAGAATCTATGGATTCTAGCTAAGTTTTGAGTTATATGGAGTTTGTTTAGATGTTATTCAAGCCCTATATGGATTGGTAATCCATTTTCTCATTTTATTTTTTGAAGGAGATAGGAGAAAGCTCAAGAGTTAAAGGAAAAGAAAAGTTAAATCTTGAGTGAGTTGAGAAAGTTTCTAGCCATCGAAGAAGCAAGGTAACACCTTTACAACTCTTCCATACTCTTAGTAAGTCGTAAGAAGTTCAAAATAGTTTAAATGATTGAGTTGATCATGATAAGCATTTTCATTTTGAAATTCTTGTTTTAGAGTTATAAATGTGTTTAAAGCCTCTATTATGACCCTTGTTGATCAAATAAAACTTTATGCATGTTTGTGGACCTGACTAAGGTCTTTGGGATTGAATTATAGCATTTTAGTATGTGTTATATGATTTCTTTAGGTAAAGTGTCGATACTATTGGGATAATACCGATACTAGTTCTTCGGTTTGGAGAAATTCGTGAGTTTCTGGGCAAAAGTATTGATACTCTTTCAAGAGTATCGAAACTTTGGGTCATAGTTTCGAAACTCTCATAAAGTTTCAAAACTAAGCATAACGGAATGTTTAAAAGTATACATACTTATATAAAGTATAGAAACTTTTGCAGTAGTATCGATACTCTTGGGTTAGTATCGATATTTTCAGTCTGTTTTGGGGAAAAAATGTCAGTTTTTAAGGGAATTAGACTCGAGGTACCCCAACACTTCTTTTTATCATCAAATAAGACTGCAAGTGAGAATATTAATGATATTAATTACACTTAGAAATAATATTTATTAGGATGACATAAAAATAGCCTTTGATGATGCTCAGGAAACGACCAGAACACCCGAGTTCCTTTAGAAAATGTTATCGAAAGTATAGATTCAGTCCGGATATATCCTTAGGTAGGGCTGAGCCTCTTTTGACTAACTATGTTTTCCGAGGCATTAACACTCTTTAGAAGAATCAGTGGGTTAGTCAGGGGTATGGTTTCCGATGCAGAGAATCCGAGAGCCATATCCATATAAACTAAAGGGGTGTGTGAGCTCCGAGATGCAGAACCCTCAACCGCACCATGATGTCTACCATAGCATAGAGAGTGAGTATTTGAGAATACCCACTAAAGCAGTTTTAATGCAGACTAGCTTGGGCGCAAGGTCCAACACTCAAGTAGTGGGCTAGCATAACAGAACAAATAGTAAAACATATAGCAATAGACTTGATAGCTTGAGCATGTCATGAACACTTTTAGTATGGTAAGTTGTTAGTGTGGAATTGGGCTAGTTAGCTCAGTGTTTGAAATTTGTTTTCTTATGCAAGTTAGTCAAGGAGCAGTCCGAGGATTTTTTGACAGTAGTGATCCAAACCCAGCTAGTGCAGAGTATGTCTTGAGTTCATCTTTAGAGTGCGTGTATATTTGTAAACACTGATTTGTATATTTGTAAACCTCGATTTGTATATTTTTGTACGAGTCGTAACTCATTTTATACTATGGTCTGTATGATTTAAACATTAATTTGGGAGCTCCTAATGTAAATATTTTATTTAAATTGTAGTTTTTTTTTATTTTGGCATGAGTGGTTACAAATAGTCATTTTAGAAGGAAAAAATTTGGTTAGCCACTTCGGTGGTTCCTTATGGCATTCTGATCGGTCGACTGTGTGTCGTACTAGTTTAGGGTGTTATATTGCATTCATGTCTTAATTTAGATTTTCTCTCGACTTTCTTCAATTTCAAACGTATTCGAATCTTACCCAAAATTTGTAAAAACATTTCAATTTTCTCTCAGAATGGTACAATGTAACGTACTTTTGAATAAATTGTTGCCTCTAGGAACAAAATGATATATTTGTTTCAAAAGATGAAATTATAAGTTGTAGAATTGATACGTCGTATTTTCTCAATAATAATGTATTACTTGCTATTTGTTCTCATAAAAGAGAAGATTCCTAATTAATTGGTCTACAGAAGCATGGGGGCTTCAATTGGAGGGGGCATTGCAGGCATGGGCGTTGGCTTCTTCCTATCATCATTGGCATGCCACCCGATGGCCATTTTGAAACCGCGGTTTCTGAGCTCTCGATACTCTTGTCACAACGCACATGGTTGGCAGCAACAATGGACACAACAATCGCCGCATGGCCTTTCCTTCAACAAATATTGTCCCCTTAACTTGGACCTATAAAAGCAAGAGTACATGGACGGACACCCCGTTACGGACATTATCAACAGGTAAAGTGCTCCACTCACTCCGCACGCTGCATCACCGATTCACCATTAACCAACACTCAAACTTGTAACCATCAATTGCAGGTATATAATAAAATCATGTATTTCTCTGGTAAGTGCCTCTGTCCACGATTTCTGCAGTTCGACCAAATGTTATACACGGACAGCGGCAAGTTAGGCAACCTGCATGGCCGTTAGACTCACAAGTAGTATAAAGTATATATAGTAGTAATGTTAAATAAGGGTTACAATAAAATACTTACAACTGTGACAATCGTCGAAGCAATCACAAAGGCCAGTGGACCATGGAACTGGTTTTGGTGTTGTAAGATCTGATGACTTGGGTTTGTTCATGAGATTGAGATGGTTGAAGCGACGATGGATATGGTGGCGCTGATGGTGACTCCTTCTGCAACTCCATTGTTGAGGTTTAATCGGAAATGTTCCAACAATTACTGCATGCTTTATACTTTTATCTTCGGAATTTAAATTTAACACAAAATTGTTTTCTTTGGCAACGAGGAGAAACGTGTCCTTTCAAAAAAGAAAACGGTTGGGGAACCGTCATGTGTAGGCAGATTACTAACGTGGAACTTTGGTCGAAAACAGTGTTTCCAGTATTTTGGGTAAACTGCTTTGGAGGTCATGAAGTTATGTGATTGATTCTATTTTGATCACTGATAAAAAAAATTATCAATTAGGTCCGTTTGGTGCTAGTGATGGATTGGGTAGCTTAACTTATTGATCCAGATAGACATACCATGCATTTCTGTTATTTATATATTTTGCCTGTTATGTTTATGTTATTTTAATTCTTCATTTTTATTCTTTACTTTGACCTCGTGTCAGTGTTTTTAATACATTTATTACATTGAGTTTTTTAACTCACCTCTTCTATATACACATGCTCGAACTAAATCCTATAAAAAACAAAATTTTCTTTTACTTCGAAGATCATTCCATAAGTTTATATTTTAATTGAATTAGAATGAAGTAGTAATTAATTAAAAATGTTTTATATTAATCATGTAATGTACACTTATTTGAGTAATTAATTATTATTCTAATTGTTGAATATAATTAGATATATTAACTATTTTGATAATAAAATAAAATAGGACAAGAATAAAAAGGAATTCAGAAGTGATGGATTCAAATTTTCCTTTATCCACGTGGTAACAACAAGAGCATGGAAAGAAGGAATAACACAAATTCAACAAAGATGGGATATTTCCATGCATCATGCTCCTCAGCACAGTCGTAGTTCTTTTCCTAATGAGATTCCCATTTAGGGTTTGTTTCCCACTTGGGAAGTAACCATGTATGTATTCCCATATACATCAGGATTTATAGTTTGTCAGCCTCGTGGATGATCACTATCAAGGCTAGAATGAAGGCATAGTCCACCTCTGGATACACTTTTACCCTTGAAACTCTCCTTGCCCTGCCAACTTCCCCATGTGTAAGTATGCTTAACCTCTGCAATCATCGAATCGCCTTTCCAAACTTTGAAAGAAAGCGAAGTTAAACTTCCAGTCACATGAAAATCCGGGCCATCTTCCTTGCAGTTGCTTGCTAAGTAGACATTCAGATTCTTCTTGATCGGAAACGAGTCGGATTTAGGTAAACCTAAACCCCTAATCTATTCAAAAAAAAAAAAAACTTTGAATACGGCCCCTCATCTATCACCTTAATCTATCAATTAAGTCTTTATCCTTATTAGAGAACGATTAAACCCACAAACTTAAGTCACTTAGTGATCTACTTCCCAAAAGTTTAGGTACACCACTAAATTTGTTGTAAATCAATATCATAAAGGTTTGATTGATCTCAAAAGACCAACACCAGCCGTTATCTAATCTCTACTCAACCATACTACTCGTCATCCCTCGTGTTCACCACATACTTGTAGATTTCGTCATATTTATTTTGCATGTTCTCGACAAATCCATGGGCAGTAAGAAAAACAAATTTTGATTTTTATGAAAAGACACTAGTTAAAAGAAAAATGAGAAATTTAAGCGGGATCTATTAGTGAAATTTAAAGTGTTCTTGATTGGTATCCGCTGATTGTAGGTCGTGATTGGATTATGGTTTAAGGTTGGTGTCGATACGACCACCATACTTTTCATTTTGACAATATGATGATATAATTATTTAAGTGATTCTAATGTAGTCATTCACCATTAAAAACAGACAATATAGTTGATTTGGACCTCTGACTTGCCGCTAGTCAATAACAATCACATCAGTTACGTCGT